TCAGTTAACAGGCCCGAGCGGCACCTGCTGCCACAATAGGTCTCCGGTCGGGTCGGCAGTCGGCCAGATTCCTGTCTCGGCTGAACACCAATCGGACGCCCAGTTGTACTTGCGCCTAGTTGCCCTGTCTTGCTCAGTGACGTTGAGCAGTGCAGGGTGTCAACACATGACCCGACCGGTCTGCCCCGCGGTGGGCGGTGGAGGGCGGTGGAGGGCGGTGACCCCGGCGGTGCACTAGCAGCGGTGACCCGTTCTCCAATCGGTCAGTGCTCTAATTAATCGTCCGGAGGGTGGGGCGATTGCTGGCGGCGAGCGGAGCCCCGGTCAACGGCGGTAGGTTAGGGCTGGACCCGGGGGTGGAGCGGCAGGTCACGGCTGGAACTCCTGGCTGGAGCGACATGTCACGGCTGGAACTCCTGGCCATCGGCGACATGTCACGCTCAATCGACGGCGCGGCGCAGACGTGAGAAGTCCGTCGGCGCGGCGACACGGTGCGCCGGCCTTGTCACCGTCGCGCCACTCCCCGCCGCTCTGTCGGAGGTCGCTCTCTCCCTCTGCCCGACAGCGCGACACCGGCCTTGTCTCATGGACCACTCTCGCTCTCCGGCCGAAATTGTCGCCGCGCTGATAGTGACGACCCGGTTACATGGTTGGATTACATCTCGGACCGTCGCGTCATCGACCGTTCGCTCCGAGATGGCCCTCTCTCTCCCCTCCCCTCTGCCACTCGCCGGTACACTGCAGCAGCTGTCAGTCCAGACTGTTCGACCCGACCTCAGCCGTCGTGGCCGCCGTCGCCGCTACAGCCTGATTGAGTTGCACCACAGTGGGGCCGGCTCGGATCCAGCTTCCGGCGCAAGGTGCTGAGATGACGACCGCCCCACTCCCCCGCGCGGAGATGACGGCAATCAACCGCTCCGGATGGGCCCAGATGACCGCCGCACCGGCCATTATCCCATTCGGAAGACGCCGCGCGCCGGACAGTCTCTGGCCTGTGCCGCCACCGTCCATCTGATTTAGGATCGAATTAGGCAACTCTCATCTGACGGAGGTCCGTCGGATGGTTTCTTCATGAGCCGGACTAATTGTTTTCGGCCGGACCGGAGGCGACTTACGCCAGATGAACTATCGGAGACGGCCTGTTCTACACGAGACGAAACTGTGCTCAAGGGATAGAGAAATCTCTTTAAGGCAGAGGCGGCTCGTAACGAGCACCCGTCCGACTCTGACGGCCTTCCGTCTGTGATGAAGGCATTTCCACGGCGGACCGGGCTATGCACTGGCTGACATACACCGGACATGTCAGTACCTCATGTTGAACGGATCTGGTGATAAATGAGCGCCGCTGACCTAGACCTCGGTAGCGGCCGTGGCACCCGGCGGAGCGGCTGTTATTCGTGACGCCCTGCCCGGCTGCTCGGCGCGCCCCGCCCCGGCTGGGCCGGACCCTGCCCGCCCCGGCGCCGCCGGATGGTGCTCTCAATGACATCAGCTGCCCGGCGGCGGTGCAGCCTCGCCCGCCGACGCTAAAAGCCTCGGACGATGATGGCACGGATGGCTTAGGACGCCGTGCGAACTGCGCGGTCAGGCGCGCCCGGAAGCAGCGGACGCGTGGGACGCCACTGGTGACGCTCGCACGCTTCTGCCGTCTGCGGTGGCCGGCGGCACCAGGACCGCCTCCGGGCAGAACCGAGTCGCCGCCGGCGGCCCGGGCGTGGCGCAACGACATGCAATTCGCGTGCAACGTCAGCGCTCTCACGGACCATTGAAGACGCGAAGAAAGTGAAATCAGAAGTGCATGAAATGCCACAAAAGTCACTCGTCGGTGGCTGCGAGAATTTAGATCAAGGTCCATGCAACGCTGCGCGCGGCGGCGCGTAACTGGTCGTGAAGCGTTGACGGCCGGGAGGGGCCGCGCTGGCCTTGTCTGTCTTTGGTGCCTCCACGGTGGAGAAAATTCCCCACGATGGTTAGATGCGCGTTTACGCCCACCGACAGGACATGAGTTTTGCCAACAAAAGGAGCCAGTCGAGTATGGCAGCGCGCTCACGGCCACAGAGCCACCGTCGGCCGTGGCGAATGGCGTGGAAGGTGAACGCAGAAAGGAGGTGGCCCGTGCGGCTTTTCCATCGAACGCGAATCAAACGCTCTCTGTGACGAGCAGACGTCGCGGTACATTTTAGATGGTTGGCTAATTTGTTTTAATAATAACTATTTACTTTCTAGTGATAGAAAACGGAGTTTTATGGGCTATCGTGCATGCTCGGACGACCTGGGAGCCGCGACAGGTGGCATAGGATCGGGCTGTGGGCGGATCTGCGCGATGCTGAACGGTGGGAGGCGGCCGCCACTCCCTCATTCCACGTCATTAGCAGTGGCGGCGGGCGGGGACCGACCTGGGGCCGACATTCGCGGCGATTCGTCCCGGCCGGTAAACACGTCCACCCGCTCTGGTTACCGGCGCCGCTGGCCCGGTAATTAGGCCCAGCACGCCAGCGGGCCGGCCGCCGCGCGCGGCACGAGCTGAGGTGTTTGTGGCGATCCGAGCCGTCGTGGCCGTGTCAGTAGCGCGGTCGGCGCAGCCCCAGGGTCAGACTCACGGTCACAGAGGCGTCAGATCGCTCACGAGATGGTCAGCGCTGGCCTCGCGAGATGCCACAAGAGTCGACTGCAGCTCTCGACACGAGCTGACGTTCTCGGGCGCGGACAGCGCGCTTCTGCAGCTCCGCCTGCGCTCCAGGTGTATTAACTGCATCATGCGCGGCGGAGAATTTTGCAGAGTTCGGAGAGGCGTTGTGAAAACGGGCCGCAGAGAGCCGGGTGATCGGTTTCCTCATTGCGCCAGACAGATGGCTGCAGCCACCCGGCAGAGGTGACGGGCCGGGGTCAGTTCCCGCGGGCCGCGGCCAATTTTCCTGCTCCGTGGACCGTGCTCCCGATCCCCGCTCCGTGCACTCATGAGCCGGCCTGATGTCGACCGTGCGGCCAGCGAGAGCTCTGATTTCATCCCTTCCCACGACGCGACGCTGCGAACAAAGATGAGGAAAATCGGCCGGCGCTGCAGTTTGTCCTCATTGCAGATGAACTATGCGAAAAAATATCTCACGAGAAGCTGAGCGGACCCGGCTAAAGCCGTTCACCTTTAGTTTTGCCTGGTCGCGGGAGATGAAAATCACGCGCTTTGCGAAATCTGGGATCCGGCTGAAAAATCGGCCCCGTCGCGCCATTTTGTCGTGCTGGACTAACCATGAGGAAGGAAAACCGACCTCATCTCGGAGCTGCAGAGAAGTCGCGCAGATTCTGTTTTTCCTCATTCGGATAAGCTGGAGCAACTGTCCTCTTTGCTGATATCGGATTTCCGAGAAGGCTCTCGAATTATACCGCCGAGGTTTGCTGGAGCTGTGCAATGAACAATGAACATATACTGGCCACAAATCAGTGGTCTTGTTGACTGATTTCGTACTCCTAATCTGCTTATTTCTTCATGTGTTTATATTTGCATGACTAATTTTAAATCAACTTCTACAATCTATTCTTCACACCCATTGCAAGGCAACGAATGCTAATGCAATATTTTTTTCAGTTTTGACATTCTAGCGCAAGCCAATATACTAGTTGATCCCTTTTGCCAGTGTATTACTACTTTTATTGGTGAATTGAAAATTGGTATTCGCATCAATAAATTATACCTAATGATTTTGTTCCTTCTCAATCTAGTTGTGCGTGTAGCGCCATTCAATTTAACAGCTGTTGGAAGCGGTATGCAAGATAATTTTAACTCACTCAATAGGCATCCACTCGTAAAACACCGTTTGGGTATTTATATTAAAAGTTTTTGGGTGTTTGGAATGCCGTTTGTAATACTTACAAATACGAATACACTTAGTACACTGCACGATGGCATAAACAGCAATAACATATAGGTATTGCGGCTAACGATGGTGGATGAAATATTCAATAACCTCCAAGTTTAAAATTTTTCGCGCTTTGAGATGCAAGTTACTCGAGCTTTCCCTTTTTCCCAAGCATGTGTGCGTGTGTCAGTTTCGTTTTCTGTTTTTTTCCGCTTCCCATTGTTTTGAATGATGCAGGCGTCTTATATATTGGCGATGGCGAGCGATTTTATTCATTGATGTGGTCTTTCTATCAAGCAGTAGCGAGGAAAGGTAAGAACCCTTTCAAACTACCTTACGATAATAGAAAAACGGAATGTGTGTTAATGTTGGCTCAGTAATAATTGAATACAATGCTCCAGCTTTCGTGCTCTAGCTCAGTCAGCAGTGGGTCTGAAAACTTGGAATCCGCCCTCCTTGTAGGGTCGCGATTCTCATAGAATGAGGCTCTCACACGAGTCTCATTGATGTTCTTATTTTGTCCTATTCCATATATATATGGCTCTACAACCAGATAAGTAACCTTAAGAGGAGTTAGATATTTTGTTTTTCTCACAGACAATGACAATATTTACACTGTTTTTGTATTGTCATTGTCTGTGAGAAAAACAAGTAACCTTAACTATGGTCTTTTCATAGAATGCCTAATTGTGTGCGTCTATGGCAGTGTATAATCTAGAAATATGCTGGCATTACATATTTTTTGTATTTAATATTTGTTATTAAAACACCTCTCATCCATGATAATCGAAAGGGGCCTTTTCTTCATAGGTAGTGGTGCCACGGTTGTTAAAATATATCGTTGATAGCATCATCGTTATTGTTTGATTGGATGTATGGTGATCTAATGAACCGTCTAGCAGGTATAGTACACAAAAGGAAATAATATCGATGCAGAAACACACACCGACACACACTGCAGCTTGTCTGGACACGTGCGATAGATGACACAATCTTGTTATCGCACACCAAAAATCATTGAACATGCTTAATCCCAGCTAATCACCTGTCGGACGGGCGTGCGCGTGCGTCTCCTGTCATCCCCGTGCGATCCGTCCCCACCCCGTCCCCATTTGAGGGATTACAGCTCTGGGGAGCGGCTCATACCTGCGGGCTGACGAGTCGAGTCGGCGAAGAGCAGAGTTTCGCAGAAGTGGTCCCGATATGTGCCACGTGTCTCCGGTCCTCCGGTCTTGTAGTCCTCTGCCGCTCCGGTCCCGTAGTCCTCTGGCGGAGCTGGTTATCTTTCTGTGATGCGCGGCAGTCTCCGACGAGCGAGCTGTGTCCAATATCAGTCAGCGCACGTGGCGACTGCGACTGTCTGTAGCACGCTAGCACCAGCACGGGTCACCTGCTCACTGTGACCTGCGTCCGTCGGCGGGCCGCTCCGAGCGACAAGTGTGTCCGACCGACCGAGTGCCGGTGCAATGCGGGCCGAGACTGGGCAGGGCCGACAGCGAGCGAGCCGACTACTTTCGGATGTGCCCCCAGAACCGAACTGATGCTCTACACTGCCGTCGGAGCGCGCTGCCACTACTGACCCCCTGCCCTGCCCCTCCCACCACTCTCACTGGACAACTCTGTAGAGCTCTTTTTGCCGCAGTTTCTCACAGCAAATGAACTCTATCCACCGCGCCCAGCCGTAAGGTCCGTTGCTCCAGTTCGAAGCCCACGAAATTCGTCCTTACTGCTTCTGTTTTAACCTAGTTGCCGGCGCCGGTGGGTGTGGTCACGCGGGCCGGCCCGAAACCGAAAGTGGCGGCGGCTGGAGCTCGGTCGGGAGGTGGCAGCCGCCGGTGGAGGAGACGTCATCAGACGCTCGCCGGCCGCGGCGGCGGGCGCACCTCCGGCAGCGGGCCGCGGGCCGCCGGGGTAGGGGGTGGGTTACTGGGGCAGGGGGCGTGTACCGGCACAGAGGGTACGCTACCAGAGGTGTACCGTACCGCGGTGGCGGGCGCACCTCCGGCTGCATGCCGCGTGCCACCGGGGCGGAGGATATCTCAGTGGAGCAGGGGCTATTTACTGGGGCAGGGGGCCAGGTACCGGGGCAAAAGGTTCTGCCCGGGCAAGAGGTGCCGTGACAGGGCAAAGGGCATGCCGATGGGGGAGAGGATGCTCTACCAAGGGCATAGGAACCGTACTCAAGCCAGGCAAGGGTACTCTGTTGGGGAAGAGGGAAGCCGGAGGTCGTAGGTTGGCCACCACATAAGGGGCGGGGCAGCCGCAGGAGAAAGGCTTATCAGTATTCTTTTAACCCGCGCCCCGTTGGGCTCTGCCGAGCAACGCGCCCGGTTGGGGGGGGGGCCATTTTGGCCCCCCCCCCTAAGATCTCGAGAACCACGCAACATAGCGACAAGCGGTAAACGGTGTTGGATAGCCCCAACGGGGAACTACCTTGTGACCCAATTTTATTGACCTAGGTCAAACCGATGACGTCACAGGTCAGGTCAAAGGTCCAATTTTCACCGTTTACAGGCACTTCAAGAAATGCGTTGTAAAATCGAGTAAAATGCATTTCATTGAAAATCATCGATGGGGAAATGTACTTCAAACACATATTTTGCTATTTGAGGTCACTGATACCAGGTCAGGTCACAGAGGTCAGGTCACGGGGGGGTCACAATATGAAAGTGTCGTGTGATACATGTTTTATGGTCCATTTTACATGACAAATGCGATGATGTGGGTCAGGCAGCCTTTGGGGCCAGCTTAGATCACGTTTTGGTCAAGGTCAGGTCAAGGTCAGGTCAAGGTCAGGTCAAATTAGGTCAAATTTCAAAGTTAATATTTTTGCATAAAATGGGTATCGAATCGATGCAGATCGTCACGGGGAGTTCAATGGTGTTCTTTGTTTTGCCGTACGAGGTCTAGAATTGCTAAAAATTGAGTTCAAAAATTTGACGTCATCATTTTTGAACAGTTTTTTCGCTATAACTTGGCCAAAAAACGAGATATCGATCTGAAATTTGGTATGTATATAGAAGAGCGCTGGGACTATCACATATATTCCGGTTTTTTCGAATTTCGGGAAAATTTTGGATTTTTGTCAAAGTTTTTCTAAAAAAATCAATTTTTTGATTTTTTTTAGGTCAAAAACCAAAAATTTTGAAAATCCGAGATAGCAGTTTTGTAGCGCCGCCTTTTGTCTACTAGACCATATAAAGAACTTTGAAATTGCTTGATAACTGTAGATTTGGTGAGCGTTTCAAGATTGCATGTTTTTTGCTCATTTTTGCTCGAACATGACCTCAGTTTGACCTCAATAACTCCTGACCTAAGGTGACCTTAGACTTGAAATTTGGTGTGAAGGTGTCAAATTGATGCCCGGGAAGGTACTGAAAATTTGGCGGCGCTGCGCGCCGCCGTTTTCTTGCTATTCAGGAAAAACCACAGGGGGGGCCAAAATGGCCCCCCCCCCCAACGGGGCGAGGGTTAAATGGGAGCGACTGGTTTCTTCCACTACATACGGGCAACTCAGACGGATGACTCAGACGAACCTTGCTTTTCTAAGCTAACCGAAAAACATTGAACACGGTCTTTGATGCATTGTATTGATTGATTTGCATGGATTTATGATGCGAAATATATCACTTGTTATACCCACTAGGGATCGTTCCAGGTCAAATGACGTCTTTCGAGATCATGAGTCGTTTACCGCTTGATTGGAGCGAGATAGTGGGGTGAAAGTGATGTTATTGAGAATATCTATCCAGGACGGATTGAACTGTTTGAACGGTGTGACCTTCACTGGGGCGGCTGCAATTTTAAGCTTGATGTTTAATATGAAGATTGATAGATGCTTGTGCAATTCGATAACAATTATGTAAGCGATGATCATTTCCAGAAATATTTGCTTTAAGGAAAACTTGACGAACGACTTTGTTTGGGAGACCTCGTCGAGACAGCAATGGTGCCAACATTTGCGCATAAAATCAGAGATCACATATCTTTGCTGTACAGAATACAAGACAGGTGTCAACAGATCTGGCTTCAATTGAAGGTCAAGCTGTGAAGAGGTCATCCCCCATTCTTGCACTGCAATTCGTAACATAGAGAAAAACTGATGAGGTAACAATGGCTTTCCTTTTGCCACAGAATGTTGCCACAGAATCAAATGAGTATTGCTTGGTATTTAACATAGCCTATAATCTCAAAGGAGGCATGTTATGCACGTTTTTATATAATTTGAATTAAATATTTTTCCTAAACGAAAAAAATCAGTTGTTTTTTAAACTTGCCTTTTATATTATTCGGGATCTTTTTTACGCGGTAGTCCCACGTTTTATCCAGCTGACATGCAATGACTGCAGCAGCCTCTTGCCCCTCCTATCCAGTGGGCTTAACAGTGATCATCAGCATTGTTTTCGTTACAAAAGGTAGGAAGTCTGATTTCAAAAGCGTTTATATAAGTCCATGGATGACGCATGCGTCACCCACACATGATGCATCGCGGACATTACTGCATTGTGACCACGCTTTAGCCTTGCTACTGCCGGCGCTCACAATGTAGGATTCATTCACTTTTACAATCATCCTCGTTAGTCGTTTTCTGGACAGAAACATCCATTCTTGCAGCCGAAGACAATGAGTGGCTAGTGTCGATAGTGTCGGTTGCCTGAGTTGGCCACCCGCCGTGACGTGTTCCCTCCGCTCAGCACCGTTCCGACGCACATTTGCACACCGAACTGCATATGACAGGCCCATGCACTGCACGCGTGCATAGTTCCGAAAAGATTACCGCCGCTCCAGAACCAAGATTGCATTGTTCTTATGAAAGCGATCGTAGAAAGTTACGCGCTGCAGCTCCTTATCCATGCAGATGAGTGGTGTACGGATCGGCCACGCCGGCCGCTCTGAGATGCGTCTTTATGGGCCATCGGCCGGCTGATGGCCCGCCGGTATATCATAGCCGGGCACTTAACGGCCCCGCTGGCGGCTCATTATCGCGCGCAGACGTGCAATCACCCCATCGGCTGCGACCCGCGGCCCGCCCCGGACCAGGTGCGCCGGTTAGAGATCAACCATGTGCGTATCAGGGGGGCTGATCCGGTGTCGGTGGCCTAAGCGACGTCAAAGATCACTCGTGGATCCGGTCATTTATGAAAATACACTTGATTTAAAACCATTAAAGGTTGTTACAAAGCGTATGTGTGTGAAGAAGAAGCTCTCAGTTTACTAGCTCGGCACTGTTGAAACTGCTCTGTGCGTAAATCGTTTCTTATCAAAAGCTTGACAAAGACTTATTCTATGAAGACTCCTCGTTAAATCTAGAATAATCGCCAGTTTCATTCTAGCAAACAAGATTTATAGCTGGAAATAATATCGTTACCTGTTCGATAAAATCTTCTCGCTGCGTTTAGTGTCAGAGAGCCTTCATGGCACCGCCCATTACCCGTCAGAGTGGGGATATTGATAGAGAGCGGTATTGTCCGCGAGAATCTGCACCCAACAATTACACTTTCCTATTACATAATTGCAAGGTGAGGCGATAACCCGAGATGGATCTATTTGACATATCCGCCCGCCTTTTTAGAAGACTCTTCTGTAATGTCTTCCGTCCCAGTTTTTGATTTTTTATTATTCTATCAATGTTTTAGCTTTGACAAATATTTGTTAACCCTATTAGTGGCAGGCTCCTGGCTACCCCTATTAGTGGCAGGGGGGCTGTTTACGACCCCCTCCCCCTGATATCTCGAGATCTAACGGGCCGATTTTCAAAATTCAAACGGCATTCGATTTCGCTCAACGTGATCTACATTTCTAAAAAATAAAAATTGAAAAATGTCAATAGGGGGTAGAGGGGGTAAAAACGGGCAAATTGCAGATACATTTTAGACTGTTTATCACGGCCAGGTTTCTGAACCAATCTTAGCCCAACTTTTGCCGATCGATAGAGAATGAACCAGGAATTCACATGGATCCTAAAAGTATGCATTTTCAAAAAGCATAGGCGGATACAGATGTAATTGCTAATTATTCCCCAATATTCAGCACCTGGACGCGCCTATGATTTTAGGGGAAAACATCGCTTGTAAGTGTTCACAAATACATGGTATGGTGCATTTGATCGCTTTCTGGCAATGTAACTACTACGAAACCACTCATCAAATGGTACTGTACATTTCCGTATGAACCCCCCCCCCTCTTTTGGACGCCTGGATCCACCTATTATAGCAAAAACGTGTCAAAAGAGGTTGCACAATAACTTTGTATATGTTATCACATGATACCTTTCATTCACTGTTCGTAAAACTGGTGCATACAGTTATAATACACCAGCATCGTGATCTTCGCCCAAATGACTCGCTTCACGAATAGGACCCCCCAATTCCCAGTGCTTTGGAGCCGCCCCTAGTAAAGCTATGAACTTGAAATTTTCAGAGAATGTGCCCAATTTAGTTTTAGGAAAAGTCAGAAAATTTCAGCATCGTAGCTTCAGCGGTTTCGGAGATATTCCCGAAAAACCTGAGGGGTGGATGAAAACAACCCCCCTGCCACTAATAGGGTTAAGCAATAGTAAACTTGAGCGGGCAGATCTTTAGTACGTAAGTGAGCCAGTCAGGACTGCCATATCCGGCTAAGGGATGAAGAAATTAGTCGAGCTGGACATGAGTGACTCCACCCAAACAGTCCCACGCTCAAATCAGACCAATCGGACTTCGTGCCTAAATGCTTTCACTTGCGCTTAATGACACCAACTTAAATTGCCAAACTATGACGGTGTAAATTTATCGTATTTGCACTAGATTTCAATCGCTCACAGAAGCAATTAATCATTTGCCTGATACAAGG